AGCTGGTTCCTCTCGACGTGGAGAATCAGAATCAGAATCAGAATCAGAATCATTTTTATTGCCACGTGAGTAACAAAGTTATCACTTGGAAATTGTCTTGGCAGAGAGCGTGCCACTTCGCCATTTGCGGCGCTGTGTGCAGCAAGAAACAGCAGAGAGCAATAACATACAGTTCACAGACAATTGGATAGACACATTGTGCTTTTTATAAACCACGGATTTTTTTCTTGGGATGAGCACCTCCGGCGGCCGGCCCAATGTAGCTGTCAGAGGGGGGCGGGATCAGGGAGGGGGTGAGTAGGAAAACAATAAGGAATCAATCAATCAATCAACGTTTATTTGTAGAGCGCCTTTCCTACACAAGGCAACGCAAAGCGCTTCACATCCCCTATCACATCATGCATAAATCAAACACATTAAGAGCACAAGATATATTAAAAACATTAAAAATAAAATCACAAAAATTAAAAACCTTTAAACATTAAAATCACAGATGGGACTAAAATCATAAATAGTCACAGTGCATTAAAAAGATTAAAGATAAAAACAAAGATGAAAAGATAAAATCATTCAGTTGTATATGCGCAGCTAAACAGAATTGTTTTGAGCCTAGATTTAAAAGATGCCAGAGTAGACGCCTGTCTCACATTCTCAGGAAGACTGTTCCAGACTCTAGCCGCATGAATCTGAAATGCAGTTTGCCCATGTCTAGTACCGACTCTGGGCACTAACAGGAGTCCAGTCCCTGTGCTCCTCAGAGTCCGGGTCGGTTCATATGGCACAAACATGTCATGGATGTACCTTGGCGCGAGACCATGGAGAGACTTGTACACAAGTAAAGCTGCTTTGAAGTCTATTCTCTGAGGAACAGGAAGCCAGTGCAGAGACCTGAGAACTGGAGTAATGTGGTCGTACTTCCTAGTTCTGGTCAGGACTCGAGCTGCTGCATGTTGAATGTACTGCAGCTGTTTTACAGCCTGTTTGGACAGACCTGTGAGCAGGCCATTGCAATAGTCTAACCGACTGGAGACAAAAGCGTGTATAAGAGTCTCCAAGTCTGCCTTAGACACTATGTTTTTAATTTTAGCAATGTTTTTTAGGTGGTAATAAGCTGCTGATGTTACAGATTTTATGTGGCTTTTGAAATTTAAGTCTGAGTCCATTATCACTCCTAGATTTCTGACCTGATTTGAGGGTTGTAGAGAGAGAGCCTGGAGGTGACAAATAACGCTCTCTCTTTGTTTCTGGGGTCCGAAAACAATTATTTCAGTTTTGTCGGTGTTTAGTTGGAGAAAGTTATTTTGCATCCAATCACCGATTTGCTGGACACAGTGAAGGAGCGAGTCCACTGGTTCATGCTCTCCTGCTGTCAGGGACACATAGACCTGAGTATCGTCAGCGTAATTGTGATAAGAGACATTATTACTGTGAATCAACTGACCTAGAGGCAACATGTAAATATTAAACAGAAGAGGACCCAGGATTGACCCCTGTGGCACTCCGCAGGTCAGGGCCAAGTGGTCTGAGGTACAGTTTTCGATCTCCACAAAAAACTTTCTGTCTTGTAAATAGGACCTAAACCAGCTTAGGGCGGTGCCAGCAATGGCACCGAATCCCACCGAATGGAGGGGAGGGAGGGAGCAAGATGGATAGGTAGAGGGAGGCGGGGGTGAGGGATCCTTGCTGGAGACTGAAATAGTGTGAGTTGTTGTAGATTGTGGGACCTTGTTTATGGCCTTGGTCAAGGAATGTGAGATAAGAGTGGGGAGAAGACACAGCAGGAGAAACACACATCGCCTGAGAGGGACAATATTGTATGCAATGTAGCATCAAAAGCAGGCAGATATTCTATTAATTCCAATTAAACCGAATTACGGCGCCCTCAGACCTCCGTACACAGGGGCAAATCCAAGCCGGGTCAGAGAGTTCAAGCCTGACAAACAATGTCATTCAATCTCAATTCCAGAGTTTTATGCCCATCGAGTGAACGAGCTGCGAGATCTTTGATCAACTGTTCCACCAACACCACTCCCCTTTGTCCAGACACGGCACTCTCAACCACGACGCGGCTAAGCTCCTTGTACATCCCATCAATTTTGTTGGCCAGCAGGTCGTGAATCTTGCGAACTGCCATGCCTCCGAATTTGTGGTAGAAGAGAACCGCTCCAAACCCAAACAGGAGGATTCCCACCACCAAAATGCCAAAGATATATACGTCTTCCGAATCTTCAATGGACAGGGTCGACAGACAGAGGGGCTGAAACTAGACAGAGGGGCTGAAACTAGAATAGAATATTGGCTTATTTACAAGTTTAATTCATACGTTTACCTTTTTGGGTTTAATCTTGATAGTAGAATAGAATTAAGGTGTTTATTCACCTTCTCCAGATAAAAAAACCCCTTTAAAATTAGACATAACATGCCATAGTAGCTCATCTTAAGTAAGAGACTTCTAGTGACTCATGGGTGTAGACATGAAAGAACATATTACACAAAGATACCTTAGCGATCATAAATTGTAATCGTAATTTTTTTTTGTAAATGATCAGAATATTGATAATTATTAGCACAGCCCTAAATGAGCCTATTTGATAATGATACTTTTTACCTTTGCCTTTTGTCAGTATGTGGATAAACATGTGTGTTGGACAGAATTTTTTTTTTTACAGTCACTGGTATCAGGCCACACTGTTAAATGACCACAAAAGGTGTCATGTCACCGCATTGTGAAATCCCACGGACTCTGCGGCTACACCACCTGCGCTTCTGTCATATTCTACAAGCATTATTTAGACAAGTTTGTTGGCCCCAAGCATGTTTACATCTCTGCAGCTAGCTAAGCGACACTACCTCCTGAACGAGACACATGCGAGGGGAGCAAAATGAGGCGAGCGCAGCACAGAGAAGGCAAACAGGCAAACAAGCGGCAAAGTGAAATAGAGCCAGTATCTCCATAATGTGATATTATTGCCTACGACACTTATCGCCCACCGCTAAACTGTAGTCATATTGTTTGGATTAAGAAAACACCAAAAAGATCCTGAACCATTCATGAAAAGAAATATTTTCTTTTTATCTTAAAAAAACGTAGACCGGGACTAAATGTTAATAGTTATATTCAAGCTTAGAAGGTTCTTTTAATGAGACAACAATGCCAAGAATTCTGACTGCATAGGCATTGCTCTAATGCCAAAACATGTCAGGTAATTAAGCAGTACAAGCTTCTTTACATTTTTGTTTTATTAAAATAACCTTCTAAGCAATGTAGACTGGGCCAGCTTTAGACTGAGACAGGAGAGGGTTGACCTGTTATATAATGTTAATGTTAGTGTAGAATTGTTGGACACATCTGAATAATCTCCCTGAGATGCTCCCCTTGGTTCCTCTGACTTAGACTGATTCTCAATGTGCCGCTGGTGGTCAGAGGGGAAATTTGATCCTTCAGGCTGATTACGACGGATCAGTAGATGCAACAGACATGTTATCTTCCACAAAATGAAGTAAAAGCCACACAATATGCACTAGACAAATTGGATCCAAATTCAACAAAGCAGGGCAGAGTCGGATTTGATTATTTTCCCCAAATCTGTTTGAAAATGAGTGATGTTTTAAGTGATTTTGCCAGGTAGACATGAAATTACTTCACATCAATCCTGGATCAACACATTACGGTTTGTGATAATGTAGGCAGGATTAGTAAACCTCTATTCAAAACGAAATTTTGTTTAGCGCAAAGTCGCAATAGCATTAGTTTCTGAGGACTTAACAAAATTGTCTGTTCACCAACAGAAGATTGGAGTTTATTTAAAAAAAATATGGAACAGCAATTGCAGGAAAACAAAGGAACCATTGGTCGATAGCAGCCTGGCTAACACCAAAATAAAGGAAATATTATATTAGTATGGAACTGTAGAAATGTGTTCATTTTTGCGATGGGAAAGTGTGATGAATTAATGAATGAAGCCTTCATTAGTCCCACAGTAGGAAAATTTCAATCGTGATTGTACAATTGTACATTGCTGTTTATTGGGCTGAATGTCTATCACGGGATCGTATTCATCCTACCCGAAAACGGTTGTAACAGAAAAAACATATCGTGCCGAAAAATTATTCTAGTTTGTGCAAGTGAAAGACGTGCATTGCATCTGCTGCCATTTGTTGGATCTGTAAACATACAAGCTTTGTCTGTCCAATAGAGCGTCCTCATTGTCTTGCCGACCCTCCCTGTTCTGTGATTGGTCCCCAAATCCATGCAAACATTTCGGTCTGAGTTTCCAGGCATAAATGTCCTGGATCATTGCCATTTCTACATCAGGAAGGAACAACTCGAAAGCCAGCGGGAAAATAATTAAGAAACGTTAAGGAGACCCATGGTGAAAGAGGGAGATATAAGGCCTGAAGAGGGATGAATTTTTGATTTATAAGACAAGATAAGATAGACTTTATTGATCTCAAACAGGAGAAATGCACATGTTACATTTGGCAAGAATAGAATCACACAAGATTTGTGGAAAGGAAAGAAGTGTGCAAACATGTTAAAGGCAAAAGGCAAAAAATTTAGTCTGTGCAGGATATATTATGTACAATAAAAAGTGGCAATTAAAGAAATAGTGGCAATAGTAGTGCAGGTTTTTGTTTTTGTTTTAATGTCTTAAATGACAAGTATAATTGATTATTTGGTGTATTTGAATTTTTTACATTTAGGTTATAGTTGAATGTTATGATTAATGTTCATTGTTTTGGTGGGGCTGGTTGTGATTGGGAAGTTGATTATGTTGGAGGGGATGGGGGAGATGGTTTTTTAATGACGTTGATTGATTTTTTAGTGGTACTTGTGTGAAAGGTATTATTGTGTGTATTTAATTTTTTTTTTTTAGGTTATTGTTTGGAGATGTAGGGGTGTTGGGGTTGGGAATTTGAAATTTATTTTTTAGTATGTGTTGGAGGGGGGAGATTTGGGAGGTTGGGTATTTTTTGATATGTGGGTGGTGTTGTTTAAGGTTGGGATAGTGTTTGTTTGGGTGAGATGTGAAGGGGATAGGTGATGGTTGTTTGATGGGGTTTTTGGGGTGATTTTTGGAAGTAAGGGTTGTTAGGTCATGTTTATATGGAAGGGGGGTGGAGAGTGTGTGGGTGGGATAAATTATGGATGGGTATGGTATATGTGGGTAAGGTGTTTAATGTGTGTTTGTGTAATTTATATTTTTTTTGTGGGTTTAAATTTTGATGGTTGATTTTTTTGATTTGGTTTTGTTGGGGTGTTTAGAGATTGGGTTTATGATACGTTAAGTGAGTGAGTTGGGAAGTATTATTATTTGATTTATTGAGATGTGGTTTGTAGTATTTTTTGGGATGTTTGGAAAGTTGGTAGGATTTGGGTAGGGGTTTTGTTCATTGGAGATATGGTGGGTATGTAGGAGGTAGTTGTATTTATGGTGAGGGTGGTGGAGTAATTTTTGAAGGTTTTTCTGGAGATGTTTTAAATAACGTATAGAGAGTTGATTATTGTTTTATATTAGATGTTATGATGGAATGTGTTGAGATTTAATGATTTTTAGGGTTGTGGGGGGGGGGGGATGGTTGGGTATTTTTGTTTTGTATTGATGTAAAGGGAGTGTGATGAGATGGGTGACATGTTTTAGGGGTATGTAATGGGTGGGTTATGTGGTGTGGTAGGTTGGGTTGTGTTGGGTTATGTGGTGGGGGGTTGGTTGGGGTTGGGGGGTGGGGGTGTTGTGGTTGGTGGGGTGTTGTGGGTGGTGGGGGTGTTTGGGGTGGGGTGGGTGAGGTGTGGGGATTGTGTGGGGGTTGGGTGGTGGAGGGGGTAGGTGGGGGGGGTTGGTGTGGGGGGGGGGGTTGTGTTGGTGTGGGTTGTGGTTGTTGGGGTGTGGGGGTGGGGGGTTGTTGGGGGTTGTGTGTTGGTGGTGTGTGGTTGTGGTTGTGGAGTGGTTATGGGTGTTGTGGGGTGTTTGGGTGTGGGGGGGTGTTGTGGGGTGTGGTGGTGGGGTGTTGTTGGTGTTTGGGTTGTGTTTGTGGTTGGTGTGTGGTGTTGTTGGGGTGTGGGGGGTTGGTTTGGGGTGTGTGGGTTTGGTGGTGGTGTTGGGGTTGTGTGTGGGTGGTGGTGGGTGGGGGTGGGGTGGGGTGTTGGGTAGTGGTTGTTTGGAGTGTGGTTGGGGGTTGGGTTGGTGGGTGGGGGGTGGTGGTGTGGTGTGTGAGGGGTGTGGTGGGTGTTGGTATGGTTGTGGGGGGTGTGGGGTGGTGTGGTGTGGGTAGGGGGGGTGGGTGGGGGGGGTTGGTGGTGGGTGGTGGGTTGTAGTGTTGGGGGGTTGGGTGTGTGTGGATGGTGGGGGTGTTTGTGGGTGTGTTGGTGGGGTTGGAGTGTGGGTGTTGGGGGTTGGGGTGTGGGTGGGGTGATGGGGATGTTGGTGTTTGGGTGTGGGGGTGGGGTTGGGGTGGGGGGGGGGGGGTGGGTGGTGGTGGGGTGGTGTTGTGGGTGGGGTGGTGGGTGTGTTGGTGGGTTGTTGTGGGTGTGGGTGTGGTTGGGAGGTGTGGGGTTTTGGTTGGTGGTGTGTGGTTTTGTTGGGGTGTGGGGTGGTGGGGGGGGGGGGTGGTGGTGTTGGGGGGGTGGTTGGATGGGGGGTGGGGTGGTGGGGGGTGGTGTGGTTTTGTGGGGTGGTGTGGTTGGGGTGTGGTGGGGTGGGTGGTTGTGGTGTGTGGGTGGGTGGGTGGTGGTGGGGGTGGTGTGTGGGGTGGGTGTTGGGTTGGGAGGTGGTGTGGGGGTGGGTGGGTTTGGGTGGGGTGGTGGTTGGGGTGTTGTGGTTGTGTTTTGTGTGGGGTTTGGTGGTTGGTGGTGTTTGGGTGTTGTGGGTGTTGGGGGTGGTGGGGTTTGTGGGGGTGGTTGTGGTGGGGTGTGGGGGGTGGGTGGGGGTGGTGGTGGGGTGGTTGTGTGGTGGGGGTGTGGTTGGTTTGGGGTGGGGGGTTGTGTGTGGGTGTTTGGGGTGTGGGGTGGGGTGGGGGTTGGGGTGGGGTGGTGGGTGGTTGGGGGGTTGTTGGTTGTGTGGTGGTGGGTTGGGGTGTGGGTGGTTGGGGTTGTGTGTGTGGTGTTGGTTGTTGGGGTGGTGTGGGTTGGGGTGTTGGGTGGGGGTGGGGTGGGGGTGTGGTGTGGTTGGGGGTTGGTGGTGGGTGTTGGGGGGGTGGTTGTTGGTGTTTTTGTTGGGGTGTTGGTGGGGTGGTGTGTGGTGGGGGGGTGTGTGGTGTGGGGTGGTTGGGTGTGGGTTGGGTGTGTGGGTGTTGGGGGGTTGTGGTTGGTTGTTGGGTTGGTTGTGGTGGGTGTGGTGGGGGTGTTTGGTTGTTTGTGGTGGGTGGGTGTGTGTGTAGTTGTGGGTGTGTGTGGTTGTGATGTGGGTGGGTGTGTGTTGGGGTGTTGTGTGTGGTGGGGGTGTGTGGGATGTGGGTTGGGTGGGGTGTGTTGTGGGGGTATGTGTGTTGGGTGTGGGTGTTGTGGGTTGTGGGGGTGGGGGTGGGGTGGTGGGGGGTGTGGTGGGTGTGGTGGTGGGGGTGTTGGGGTGGGGGGGGTGGGTGGGGGTGTGGGGTTGGGTGGGGGGTGGTTGTGGGTGTGTGGTGTGGGGTGGTGGTGGGGTTGTGGGGTGGTGTGGGGTGGGGGTGTGGTGTGTGGGTGGTGGTGTGGGTTGTGTGGGTGGGTGGGGGGTGTGGTTGGGGTGTGGTTTGGGTGTGTTGGTGGTTGGTGGGGTGTGTGGGTGTGTGTGGGTGTGGGGTTGTTGGGTGTTGGGTGTGGGGTGGGTTGTGGGGGGTTGTTGTGTGGTGGGTGGTGGGTGGGGGTGTGGTGGGGGGGGTGTGGTGGGTGTGTGGTTGGGGGGTTGGTGGTGGGGTGTGGGGGTGGGGGTGGTGGGGTGGGGGGGGTGGGTGGGTGTGGTGTTGGGGGTGGGTGGGGTTGGGTGGGGGGTTGGGGGTGGTGGGGTGGGGTGGTGGGGTGTGGGTTGTTGGTGGTGTGGGGGGGGTGGGGGTTGTGGGTGGGTGGTTGGGTGTTGGTGGTGGGTGGGGTGTGGTTGGGGGTGTGTTGTTGGGGGGTGTGGTGGGGGGTGTGTGGTGGGGTGGTGGGTTGTGTTGGGGGGGGGGTTGGGTTGTGGGGTGGTTTTTGGTGGTGGGGTTGGGTTGTTGGTGGTTTGTGGGTGGGGGGGGGGTTGGGTGGTGTTGGGGTGTGTTGGGGGTGTGGTGGGTGTGTTGTGGTGGGGGTGTGGGGTTGGGGGTGGGGTGGGTGTGTGGTGTTTGTGTGGGGTGGGTGGGTTTGGTGTGGGGTGGGGGTTTGGTTGGGGGTTGGTGGGGGTGTTGGTGGGTGTGGTTGGGTGGGTGGGGTTGTGGTGTGTTTGTGGGGTGTGGGTGTGGGGTTGTGTTGGTGTTGGTGGGTGTGGTGTTGTGTTGGGTGTGTTGGTGGGTGGGGGGGGTTTGTGTGTTGGGTGTGGGGTGGTGGTTGGGGTGTTGTGTGGGGGTGGGTTGGGTGTGTGGGGGTGTGGTGGGGGTGTGGGGGGGTGGTTTGGGTTGGGGGGTGGGTTGGGTGGGGGGGTGTTGGGTGGGGTGTGGGGGTTGGGGGTGGGTGTGGGTGGGGGTGGGGTGTGTGGTTGGGGTGTGTGTGGGTGGTTGGGGGGTGGTGTTGGTGTGGGGGTTGGGTTTGGTGGGTGGGTGTTGTGGGGGGGTTTGGTTGGGTGGTGTGTGTGGTGGGTTGGGTGTGGGGGGTTTGGTGTGGGGGGGGTGGGTGGTGGGTGGGGGGTTGGGTGGGTTTGGTGGTGGTGTTTGGTGGGTGGGGTGTTGGGGTGGGGGTTGTGGGTTGTTTGGGGTTGGGTGGTGGGGGGGTGTTTGGGTGGGTGGGGGTTGGTGTGTGTTGGTGGTGGGGGGTGGGTGTTTGGTTGGGTGGGGGTGTTGTGGGGGTGGGTGGGTGTGTGGGGTGTGTTGGGGTGGTTGTGGTTGTTTGGTGTGGGGGGTTGGGGTGGTTGGGTGGTTTGTTGGGGGGGTTTGGTGGGGGTGGGTTGTGGGTGTGTTGGGGGTGGTGTGGTGGGGTTGGGTGGGGTGGTTTGGGGGTGTGGTTGGTGGGGGTTTGGGTGGGGGTGTGGTGGGTGTTGTTGGTGGGGGGGTGGGTTGGGGGTGGGGTGGTGGGTGTGTGTTGGTGGGTTGGTGGGGTGTTGTTGGGTGTGGTTTGGGGTTGGGTTGGTGGGTTGGGTTGTGGTTTGTTGGTGGGGGTGGGGTGTGTGGTTGGTGTTTGGGTGGGGTGGGTGTTGTGTGGGGTGTGGGTGGTGGGGTTGGGGGTGGGTGGGGGTGTTGTTGGGGTTGGGTGGTGGGGTGGTGTGGTTTGGTGGGTGGGTTGGGGTGGGGTGTGTGTTGGGGGGTTGTTGGTTGTTGTGGGGTGTGGGGTGGGGTGGTGGTGTGTTGTGGGGGTGTGGGGTTTGGTGGGTGTTGGGGGTGTTGTGTGGTGGGTGTGGGTGGGGTTGGGGGTGTGGGTTGTTGGGTGGGGTGTGTGTGTTGTGTGGGTGTGGGGGGGGGTTTGTTTGGGGGGGGTTGTGGTGTGGTTGTGTTGTGGTGGGGTGTGGGGTGGGGGTGTTGGTGTTTGTTGGGGGTTGGGTGGGGGTGTGGTGGGGTTGTGTGTGTGGGGGTGGTGGGGTGGGGTGTTGGGGGTGGGTGGGTTGGTGGGTGGGGTGGGTGGGGTGTTGGGGTGGGTTGGTGTGGTGTGGGTGGGTGGGTTGGGGGGGTTGGGGGTTGTGGTTGGTGGTTGGGTTTGTGGGTGGTGGTGATGGGGTTGGGTTGGTTGTTTTGTTGGGTGGTTGGGGGGGGTTGGGGGGGTGGGTGGTAGTTTGGGTGTGGGGGTTGTGGTTGTGGTGGGGGTGTGTTTGGTGTGGTGGGGGGGGGTGTGGGGGTGTGGTGGGTGGTGGGGTGGTGGGGTGGGGGTGGTGGTTGTGGGTTGGGGGGTGGGTGTTTGTGTGTGGGGGGTGGGTTTGGTTGGGTGTGGGTTGGGGGGTGTTGGGTGTGGTGGTTGGGTGGTGGGTGTTGGGGGGTGGTGTGGTGTGGGTTGTGTGGGGGTTGTTTGGTGTGGGGTGGGGTGGGGGTTGGTTGGGGTTGGGGTGGGGGGTTGTTGGGGTGGTGGGTGGTTGGGGGGTGTTTGGGGTGGGTTTGTGTTGTGGGGTTTGGGGGTGGGGTGGGGTTGGTGGGTGGTTGTGGGGGTGGGGGTGGTGGGGTGTGTTGTGGTGTTGTTGTGGGGTGTGGTGTTGTTGGTTGGTGGGGGGGTGTGGTGTTTGTGTGGTGTTGGGTGTTGTGGGGTGTGGGGGTGGGTGGTGGGGGTTGGGGGGTTGGGGGTGTTGGTGGGTTTTGGTGGGGTGGGGGTGGGGTGTGGTTTGTGGTGGTGTTGGGGGTGGTGTGGGGTTTGGTGGGTGTGTGGGGGTGTGGGGTGTGGGGGTTGGGGGGGGGGTGTGGGGTTGGGTTGGTGGTTGGGGTGGGGTTGTGTGGTGGGGGTGTTTGGGGGGTGGGTGTGGTGGGGGGTGGTGTGTTGTGGGTTGGTGGGGGTGGGTTGTGGTGGGGTGGTTGTTGTTGTGTGATGGTTGGTGTGGGGGGTTGTGGGTTGGGGGTGTTGGTGGTGGGGTGTGGTGTGTTGTTGGTTGGGGGGTGGTGGTGGGTGTTTGGGGGGTGTGGTTGGGTGGGGGGTGGGGGGGGTGGGGGGTGTGGGGGGTGTGGGGTTGGGGTGGGTTGGTTTGGGGTTGGTGGTTTGGGTGGGTGTGGTGTGGTGTTGGGGTGTGGTTGGTTGTTGGGGTGGTGGGGGGGGTGGTGTTGGGTTGGGGTGTGGGGTGTGGGTTGGGTGGGGTTGTGGTTTGGTGGGTTGGGGTGTGGTGGGTGGTGTTTGGTTGGGGGTGGGGTGGGGGTTGGTTTGGGGGTGTTGGTGTGTGGGTTGGTGTGGTTGTGTTGGTGTTGGGTGGGTGTGTTGGGTTGGTTGGGGGTGGTGTTGTTGTTTGGGTTTGGTGGTGGTGTGGGGGTGGTGTGGTTGGGTGGGGGTGGTGTTGGTGGGTGGTGTGTTTGTTGGTGGTGTGTTGGTTTGTTGGTGGTGTTGGGGGGGGTTTGTTGGGGTTTGGGGGGTGGGTGTTTGGTTGGGGGGTGGGGGGGGGTTTGGTTGTGGTGGGTGGGGTTGTGTGTGGGTGTGGGGTGTGTTGGGGGGGTGTTGGGTGGTTTGGGTGTGGTGGTGGGGTGGGTTGGGTGGGGTGTTGGGGGTTGGTTTGTTGGTGTTGGTGGGTTGGGTTGGGGGGGTTTGGGTGGTTGTGGGGGTGTGGGGTGGGGGTGGTGGTTTTGGTGTGGGTTGTTTGGGTGGGTTGGTGGGGTTTGTGGGGTGGTGTGTGGGTGGGGGGTTGGGGTGGGTATGGTGTGGTGGGTGGGTTGTTGTTGGGTGTGTGGGGGGGTGTGGGGTTGTTGGGTGGGTTTGGTGTGTGTTGGGGGTGGTGGTTTGTGTGTGGGGTTGGGGGTTGTTGGTGTGGTGGTGGGGTGGGTTGGGGGGTGGGGGGGGTGGTGGTTGTTGGGGGGTGGGTGGTTGGGTGTTGGTGGGATGGGTTGGGGTGTTGTTGGGGTGGGGGGGGGTGGGGTGTGGTTGGGTGGTGGGTGTGTTGGTGTGTGGGGGGTGGGTGGTTTGGGGTGTGTGGGGTGGTGGTGGTTGGTGTGTTGTTGGGTGGTGGTGTTGGTGTTTGGGTGGGGGTGGGGGGTGGGGGTGGGGGGTTGGTGGTGTGGGGTGGGTGTGGGTGTTTGGGTTGGGGGTTGGGGGGGGTTGGTGTGTGGGGGTTGGTTGGTGGTTGGGGTGTGGTGGGTGGGGGTTTTGGTTGGGGGTGTGGTTTGTGGGTGTGTTGGATGGGGTGGGTGGGTTGGGTGTTTGGTTTGTGTGGTGGGGTGGGGTGTGTGGTTGGGGGGGTGTGGTTTTGGTGTTTGTGTGTGGTGTGTTGTGTGGGTGTGGGGTTGTTGGGTTGGTTGGGTGGTTGGGGTGGGGTGTGGTGTTGTTGGTGTGGGTTTTGTGTTGGGGTGGTTTGGGGTTTGGGGGTGTGGTTTTGGTGGGTTGTTTTGGGGGTTTGTTGGTTTGTGTTTGAGGTGGTTGTGGTGGGTGTGGGGTGGGTGTGGGGGGTTGGGTGTTTGTGGGTGTTGGTTTGGGTTGGGGTGTTTGGTGTGGGTGTGGTGGGTGTGAGGGTAGTTGAGTTGGTTGTGGGTTTTGGTGTTGGTGTGTGGTTGTGGTGTTGGTGTTTGGGGGGTGGGGTTTGGGGATTGTGTTTTTTGAGTGTATGTTGTAGTTATGGGGATAGGGTTTGGGTAGGTATTGTTGGGGTTGGTGTGGAGGGGGTTTGTGTGGGTTGTTTGGGTTTGGGGTGTTGTGGGATGGGGTGATGGTAGTTTTTGTGTGGAGGTGGGGTGGGTTGTGTGGGTGTGTTGGGGTGGGGTTGGGTATGGTTGAGGTGATGTTGGTGATAATGTGGGTTGTGTGGGAGTTGGGGGTTGGAGGTGGGTTGATGGGGGTGTGTGTGGGTGGGGGTAGGGTGATGGGAGTGTGGGTGGTGTGGGGGTGGGTTGTTGGGGTGTGTGGTAGGTTTGGTGGGGGGTTGTGGGTTGGGTTGGGGTTGTTTGGGTGTGATGGTTGTGTGGTGGTTGGGGTGGTTGTTGATGGTGGGGGTAGGATGGTTGTGGTTATTGGGGGGGGGGGGGGGTTGTGGGGGGTTGGGTGGTTGGTTGTTGGGGTGTAGGTTGGTATGGGGTGTGGGTTTGGTTGGTATTTGGTATTTGGTAGGTGGTGGTATAGGTTGGTGGGTTGAGGTGGGGGGGTGTGTAGTTGGGGTGTGATAGTTATTGTTGTGGAGGGTGGGGGTTGTAGGTGTTAGGGTTGGGGAGGGGTTTGGTGGTGGGTGGGGGTGTTGTGTTGGGGTTGTTGGTGTGGTGGTTGTTGGGGGTTGGGGGGTGATGGGGGGGGTTGGGGATGGGTTGTAGGTGTTTGATTGGGGTTGGGGGGGTGTTGGGGTGTTAGTGTTTGTGGGGTTGTGGGGTGGGGTTGGGTGTGTTGTTTTGGGTGGGGGGGGTGGGGAGGGGGTGGTGGGGGGTGGGTGTTGTGGGTTGGTGGGTGGGGGTTGGGGTGTTGGTGTGGTTGGGGTGTGGGTGGGGGGGTGGTGGGTGGTGGGGGGGGGGGGTGTGGGGGGGGTGTTGGATGGGGGGGGTGGGGGGGTTGGGTGAGGGGGTGGTGTGTGGGATGTTGTGGGTTGTGTGGGGGTGGGGGAGTGGTGGGGTGTGTGGTATGGGTGTGGGTGGGGGGTGTGGGTGGTGTTGAGGGTGTGGTGGGTTGGGGGTAGGGGGGGGTGGGTGGGGGGTGTTGGGTGGGTTGGGGATGGTTGGTGTGGGGTGTGTTGGTGGGTGTGGGGGTTGGTGGGTTGGTGGTTGTGGTGGTAGGTGTGGGGATGGGGTGTTGTTTATGGGGGTTGGGGGTGGGGTGGGGGTGTGGGGGTTGGTGTAGGGTGGTGGTGGTGTGGGGTGTTGGGGTGGGTTGTTGGTTTAGGATTTTGTGGTGTTGTGGGTGTGTGTTGATTGTGGGGGGGTGTTTGGGTGGGGTGGTTGTTGGATGGTGGGTGTGGGGGTGGGGGTTTTGGGTTGGTGTTGGGTTGGGGTTTGGTTGGTGGGGTGGGTGTGTTGGGTTATTGGGTTGTGGGGGGTGGGTTGGGGGTGTGGGGGTGGTGGGGTGGGTGGTTGGTGTGTGTGTTTTGTGGTGGTTTGTGGGTGTTGGGTGGGGTTGTGTATTGTTGGTTGTGTGGGGTGTTGTTGGTGTGGGTGGGGTGGGGGGTGGTTGGATGTGTGGGGGTGGTGGGGTGTTGGTGGGGTGGTGTGGGGGTTTGTTGTGGGTGGGGTTGTGTGGTGTTGGTGGATTGTGTGTGGGTGTTGTTTGTGTGAGGGGGGGGTAGGGGTGGTTTGTTGGGTGGGTGGTGTTTAGTGATGTGTTTGGAGGTGTGATGGGTGTTGGGTGGGGGGTGTGTTGTGTTGGGGTGGGGGGTGGGTTTGTGTGGTGTTGGTGATGGGGTTGTGTGTGGTGGGTTTGTTGGTGGTTGGTGGTGTTGGGGTGGTTTGTGGGGGTTGGGGTTGGTGGGTTGGGGTGGTGGGTGGGGTTGGGGGGGTGGGGGTTGGGGGGGTGGTGGGGTTGTTGGTTGGTTTGGGGGGGGTTGGGTGGGTTTTGTGGGTGATGGTGGGGATGGGGTGTGGGGTGTTGGTTTGGGGGTGGTGGGGGGGGTGGTGGGTGGTGGTGGGTGGGTGTGTGGTGGGGGGTGGTGGGGTTGGGGGATTGGGGTGATGGTTGTTGGGTTGTGGTGGGGGTGGTTGTGGTTGTGGGGATGGTTGGTTGTGTTGGGATGGGTGGGGTGGGGAGTTGGGGGGATTGGTTGGTGGGGGTGTGTGGGGTTTGGGTTTGTGTTGGGGGGGGTGGTGGGTGGGGTTGGTTGTTGGTGGGGGGGGGGTTGGTGGGGGGGTTTGGTGGTGGTGGGGGTGGGTGGTTGGGGTGGTGGTGTTGTGGGGTGGTTGGTGGGGGGGTTGTTGGGTGTGTGGGGGGGGGGGGGTGTGGGGGGGGGGTGGGGGGGGGGGGTGGGTTGTTGGGGTGGTTGGGGGGGGTTGGTGGTGTGGTGGGTGTGGGGGTTGGGTGGGTGGGGGGTTTGGGTGTGTGTGGGGTGGTTGGGGGTGGGGTGTGTGGGGGGGGTGTGGGGGGGGGGTGTTGTGGTGGGGTGTGGGGGGGTGGTGATTGGTTGGGGTGGTGGGTGGGGGGGGTGGTGGGTGGTGTTGGGGGTGGTGGGTGGGGTTAGTGGGTGTGGTGGTGTGGGGGTGGTGGTGGGGGTGGGTTTTGGGTTGGGGGGTGGGGTTGTGGGGTGGGGGTGGGGGTGGGGGTGGGGTGGGGGGGTGGGGGGGGGTGTTGTGGGTTGGGTGGTTGGGGTGGGTGTGTGTGTGGGGGTGTGGGGTGGGGTGTGGGGGGTTGGTGTTGGTGGGGGTTGGTGTGGGGGGTGTGTTGGGTGTTTGTGGGGTGGGGTGGGGTTGTTTGGTTGTGGGGTGTGGTGTGGGGTGGGGTGTTGTGGTTGGGGGGGGTGGGTGGGGGTGTGTGGGTGGGTGTGGGTGTGGGATAGTGTGGGTGTGGGGGGTTGTGTGGGGTGTGGGGTGGGGTGGTGTTGGTGTGGGTGGTTGGTGGTGGGGGGGGTGTGGGTGGGGTGTTGGTGGTGTGGGTGGTGGGGTGGTGTGGGGGTTTGGTGTGGAGGTGGGTGGGTATGATGAGGTTTGGTGGGGGATGTGGTGTGGGGGGTTGGTGTGGGTGGGTGGTGGGGGGTGTGGTTGGTGGGGGGGGTGGGGGGGGGTGGGGGTGTGGTGGGGTGTGGTGGGGTTGTGTGTGGGGGGGGGGGTTGGTGGGTGGGTGGGTGTGGTGTTGGTGGGGGTGGGGGGTGTTGGGGTGTGGTTGTTTGGGTGGGGGGGGTGGGTGGGGGGTGTGTTGTGGTGGTGTGTTGGGGGGTGGGGGGGTTGTGGGGGTGTTGGGTGGGTGGTGGTGGTTGGTGGGGTGGTGGTTGGGGGTGGGTGGGGGGTGGGGGTTGTTGGTGGTATTGGGGGTGGGTGGGGTGGGGGGGGTGGTGTGTTTGTGGTTGGGGGGGTGGTGTTGGTGGGGGGGTTTTGGGTTGGGGGGTTGGGGGGTGTGGTGTGGTGGGGGGGTGGGTGGGGTGTGGGGGGTGGTGGGGGTGTTGTGGGGGTGGTGTTGGGTGGTGGGGGTGGGTGGGGGGTGGGTGGTGTGGGGTGTGGTGGGGGGGTGGTTTGGTTGGGGGGGTTGGGGGGGGGTGTTTTGGTTGGGGGAGTGTGGGGTGTGTTGGTGGGGGTTGGGTTGGGTGTGGGGTTGTTGGTGTGGGTGTTGGGGGGGGGTTGGGTTTGTGGTGGTGGGTGGGGGGGGGGTGGGTGGTTGTGGGTGTGGTGTGGGGTGGGTGGGGTGGTTGGTGTTTGGGGTGTGGGGTGTGTGGTGTGGGGGTTGTGGGGGGGGTGGTGGTGGTGTGGGTGTGGTGGGGGTGGGTGTGGGTTGTGGGTGGGTGGGTGGGGGGGTGTTGGGTGGGGGGGTGTTGGGGGTGTTGTGGTGTGGTGTGGTGGGGGTGTGGTGTGGTGGTGTGGGGGGTGGGTTGGGTGGGGTGGGTTGGTTGGGGTGGGGTGTGGGGTTGGGTGGGGTGGGGGGTGTTGGGTGGTGGGTGGGGTTGTGGGTTGGTGGTGGTGGGGGTGGTGGTTGTGTGGTTGTGGGTGTGGTGGTTTGTGGTGGGTTGTGGGGGGTGGTGTGGGGGTTGTGTGGTGTGTGGGGGGTGTGGGTGTTGTGGGGGGGTGTTGGGTGTTTGGTGGGGGGTGGGGTGTGGTGTTGTGGGTGGTTGGGGGGGGTTGGGTGTTGGTGGGGTTGTGGGTGTGGTGGGGTGTGGGGGTGTGGGGTGGGGTTGTGGGTGGGGTGGTGGGGGGGGGGGGTTGGTGGGTGGGGTGGGTGGGGGGGTGTTGGGTGGGGGGGGGTGGGTGGTGTGTGGTGGTGGGGGGTGTTGGGGTGGGTGGGGGGGGGTTGTGTGGTGGGTGTGGGGGGGTGGTTGGGGTGGGTGTGGTGTGGGGGGTGGGGGGGTTGGTGGTGGTGGGGTTGGGTTGTGGGGGGTGGGTGGGGGGTTTGTGGTGTGGTGGGGTTGGTGGTGGGTGGGGGTGTGGTTGTGGTGGTGGGTTTGTGGGTGTTGGGGTGGGTTGGGGTGGTGTTGGGTGTGGGGGGGTGGGGGGGGGGTGGGGGTGTGGGGGGGTGTGGGGGTGGGTGGTGGGTGTGGGTTGTGGGGTGGGGTGGGGGGGTGGGTGGGTGGTTGGGGTGGGGTGGGGTGTTGGGGTGGGTGGGTGGTGTGGGTGTGGGGGGGTGGGGGTGGTGGGGTGTGGGGGGTTGGTGGGGGTGGGGGGTGTTGGTGGGGGTGGTTGGGGGGTGGGGGGTGGTGGGGGGTGGGTTTGTGTGGGGGTTGTGGGTGGGGTGGTGGGGGTGTGGTTGGTGGGGGTGGTTGGGGTGGGGGTGGGTGGTGGGGTTGGGTGTGGTGGGTGTGTGGGTGGTGGGTGGGGGTGGTGGTGGGGTGGGGGTTGGGTGGGGGGTGGGTTGGTGGGGTGGTTTGGTGTGGGTGGGTTGGTGGTGTGGTGGGGGGTGGTTGTGTGTGGGGGTGGGGTTTGTGGGGGGTGGTGTGGGGGGGGGGGTGGTGGGTGGGGGTTGTGGGTGGGGTGGTGTGGGTTGGGGGGTGTGGTTGGTGGGTGTGGGTGGTTGGGGGTGGGGTGTTTGGGTGGTGGGGGGGGGTGGTGGGGGTGGGGTGGGGGTTGTGGGGTTGGGGGGTTGTGTGGGGGGGTGTGGGTGGGGGGGTGGTGTGGGGGGTGTTGTGGGGGGGGGGGGTTGGGGGTGGGTGGGTGTGTGGGGGTGTTGGTGGGTGGGGGTGGGGGGGTGGGGTGTGGGGGTGGTTGGGTGGTTTGGGGGGGGTGGGTGGGGTGTGTGGGGGGTGGTGGTGGGGTGTTGGGTGGGGGGGGTGGGGTGGTTGGTGGTGTGGGGTGTGGTGGGTGTGGTTGTTGTGGGGGTGTGGGTGGGGTGGGGGTGTGGGTGGGGTGGGGGGGTGTGGGGGTGGTGGGGGGTGTTGTGGGTTGTGGTGGGGGGTGGGGTGGTTGGGTGGGGTGTTGGTGGGTTGTGGTGGTTGTGGGTGGGTGGGGTGTGGGGTGGGTGGGGTTGTGGGGTTGGGTGGGGGTGGGGGTGGTGGGGGGGTGGGGGTGTGGGGGTGGTGGGGGGTGTTTGTGGTTGGTGGTGGTTGGTGGGGGGGTGGGGGGTGTTGGTGTGGGTGGGGGGTGGGGGGTGGGGGTGGGTTGGGGGGGGGTGGGGTTGTGTGGGTGTGGGTGGGGGGGTGGTGGTTGGGGGTTGGGGTGGGGTGGGGGGTGGGGGGTTTGGGGGGTGGGGTTGTGTGGTGGGGGTGGGGTGGTGGGTGGGGGTGTGGGGGGTGGGTTGTTGTGGGGTGGGGTGTGTTGGGTGTGTGGGGTGTGGGGTTGGTGGGTGTTTGGTGTTGTGGGGGGGGGGGTGTGGGGTGGGTGTGGGGTTGGGGTGGGTGGTGTTTGGTGGTTGGTGGGGTGGTGGTTGTTTGGTGGGGGGTGTGGGGGGGTGGGTGTGGTGGTGGGGTTGGGTGTGGGGGTGTGGGGTGGGTGGGTGGTGTGGGGGGTGTGTGTGGGGTTGGGTGGTGTGTTAGGGGTTGTGGGTGGGGTGTGGTGGGTGTGGGGTGGGGGGTTGGGTGGGTGGTGGGTGGGGGTTGTGGGGGGGGTGTTGGGTGTGGGTTTTGGTTGTGTGGTTGTGTGGTGGTGGGGTTGGGTGGTGGTGGGGGGGGGGTGGTGGGGTTGGGGGGTGGGTGGGGTGGTGTGGGTGGGTGGGGGTTTGTGGTTGTGGGTGGTGTGGTTGGGGTGGGTGGGGGTGGGGGGGTGGTGTGGGTTGTGTGGGGGGTGTGGTTTGGTGGGGGTGTGGGGTGGGGTGTGGGGTTTGTGGGGTGGGGGGTGGGTGTGTGGGGGTGGGGGGGTGGGTGGGGGGGGGTGGTTGGGGGGTTGGTTGGGGTGGGGGTGGGGGGTGTGGTGGTGGGTGTGGGGGGTGGGTTGTTGGTGGGTGTGTGGGTGGGGTGGTGGGTGGGTGGGGTTGTGTTGGTTGGGGTGTTTTGGTGGTTGGTGGGGTGTGGTTGGGGTGGTGGGTGGTGGTTTGGGGGGGGTGGGTGGGTGGGGTGTGGGTGGGTGTGTGGGTGTGGGGGGGTTGGGTGGTGTTGGGTTTGGTGTGGGGGGGTTGGGGTGGGGTGGGTGGGTTGGGGGTGGGGTTGGGGGGGGTGTGGTTGGGTGGTGGGTGTGGTGTGGGGGGGGGTTGGGGGGGGTGTTGTTGGGGGGGGTTGGGGGGTGGGGTGTTGGTTTGTGGTGGGGTGGTGTGGGGGTTGGGGGGGGGTGGGTGGGTGGGTGGTGGTGTTGTGGTTGGGTGGGGTGTGGGTGGTGGTTGTGTTGGGGTGGGGTTGGGGTGGGTGGGGGGTGTGGGGGGGGGTGGTGTGGGTGGTGTGGTGTGTGGTTGTTGGGGGGGGTGTGTTGTGGGGGGTGGGATGGGTGGTTGTGGGTGTGGGGGGGGGTGGGGTGGGGTGGGTTGGGGGGGGGGGGGGTTGTGGTGGGGGGTGGGTGGGGGTTGGGGTGTTGGGGTGGGTGGGGGGGTGGTGGGGTTGGTGGTGTGGTGGTGGGGTTGGGGGGTGTGGTGGGGGGGGGTTGTGGTGGGTGGTGGTGTGTGGGTGGGGTTGTGTG